CACATCCAACCCAAATCACCTTTGCTTTAACCCAAGCATTTTTCTTCTTGCTCAAACCTCCAAGTTTGTAACTGAAAACAGCCTAACACTAAAACCATTCCACTGAAGTACCATCTATTTAATGGACACAATGTGTTTCACGTACACAGTTTGTCGAAATTTGGTCAATAAACAGAAGTAATCTAGGCATCATAGAGGTGCAGGTCATTGAATACTAACTGAAATAGAATGAAATAAAAATAAGCATGCTTTAAAATATGCTTAGCAATGTAATTGGGGGCTGCTCAGGATACTTGTCACATAAACAGCTGCTGGGTAAGAGAAAGGAACAGTTTTCTGACTGTCTTACTTATCTGAAAGTTTTGCCTTCAGAATTAGCCAAGCAATATTTCTGTTCCCACTTTAGGTCTTTTTCTTCCCACATTTTCCTACCTGCTTGCACATCAGTTGTGTTTGCTTAATCTCCCTATTAGTGATAGAGGGCTTAACAACACCAATAGGAAATTAAAGGAAGAGGACAGTCAGTGTGATTAAATCTCAGACAAAGAATAATTAGTTAGTCAATCAATCAAATGCTGGAAATAACCTAGAGTTTTTCCCATTTTCACTGGATAGAATAATTGTTTTCAGCTCTAGACTGCATATTGGAAATCACCTGGGGAGCTTATTAAAAGTATCAAATCCTAGAACATGGCATGTAATTTTGATTTAATAGGAATTAGGTGATTCCCAGGCATTTTTTTTTTTTAAGCACTCTATATCCTGCTACTCCAAATGAGGTCTGTGGACTAGTAGGCAGTGACATAACCTGGGAGTTCATTAGAATGGAAAATCTTGGGCCCCACTGATTATCAACTAAATCAAAATTTTCACTGATGCAAGAATCCTGTTCAGTGATCGTAGAAAGCCTGGTTCAGAGCCACGGGGTAGAGGAAGTGAAGAGAAGCAGAAGGCACTGAGGGTGCGAAGATGGAGGAGATGATGAAGGAGGAATGGATGGGAGGGAGGAAAAAGGGGGCCGGGTGTAAAATGTAGGAAGAAAACGCAAAGACTTTGCCTAAATTTACATCATTTGTTTTTTAATGGGCAGAGATCCTTTTGTTTAGTCACCGTGATGTCAATGCTCTGTTTTGCATCATTTATGAATGTTCATTTTCCTTTTGTAACTCATAAGAAGTAACAGTAAATATTTGATTAGTAAATTGCTAAAGTTCTTCAAATAAAATTAATTTCTTCTAAGGGAGTAACTTTAAGGGTAGTTACTATTATATTTTAAGAAGTAATTAAGCCCTTGTTTTTATTAGTGAAATGCTGATGTAATAAATCTACTTATAGATACTTTAGTTTTTTTGAGATGATAGATATTCTCTCAGCAGCATCCTCTTACTACTACAGAATGCTTGGTTCCTTAAATGTTAAGGACCCAATATCCATCTGATTCTCATGGATGTTTTGAATGAATCCCCATTTCCAATTTCAAATTTACTGACCCTAATATAATAAGCATTTTAATTTCCCAGGTTTTATCTTTTATGTTAAGCAATCAGAGTTAGTGATGTACCACTGAAGAACAAGCTAGTAAAAATTCAACCCAGATATTATAATGTATCCAATGAAGCAATTTAGAAAAGATAATAAATATAGGGGAAAAAAATTCTAATGAAATAATAGTCAAGCAAGGATGGAAATTAAAATAACCAAAGCAATTATAAGTTAATGTTCCCATGGAGGCTAAGTGAATTATCTGATTGATTTCAGGACCTGTTTTTTGTTTTGTGTTTTCGTCATAATAAAATATGACTATAGTTTGATGTGTTTAATTCATATTAAGTAATGCTTATTAATCAGCAAGTGCCATTAAACAGACTGTACAAAGGGAAAGTTTTCTTTCTGGAAACAAAACTCATAACAATGTGAAGAAATGTTTCTTAACAGTGTCTCATCATTATTTAGAGATTAAGCTTATTGCTTTGTTCTTTTGCTTACTTATTATCTGTCAAGCAAAGATTTCTAAATACGGTTCATGCTTACTGAACTTTAGGTGTGTGAAAACTATGATAACAAATAGTGATTTTTTAGTGTTAAATGTATCTTACCTTTTGAAAAAATATAATTGTAGACTGCTTTTGAAACAAATCCCAGAATTCCCTTTTAATATCGTAAATCAAAATTTTAAAAAATAATGCCTTAGAAGGATGTTTCTTTGCATGTTCCTGAAATGGAATGGCATCTCTAACATCAAAATGTCCTGAGAAAATGTGAGATAGGTGACCACTGTATGGAAGAAATTGCTATTTTGAAAAATTTATAGTTGACAACACATATGATTGAATAATTTGAATACATGTTTTAAAAGTTCACAGTATAATAATTATTGAACCTAAGGTTGTACTACGTTAGATTCTTTTTCTAACATATTGTTTTTATATTTAAATAGTGTACTCAATGAGAGACATTATCTTATGAACATTTAATAAATAATTTATAAAAATAAAATCATGGTTATTTCTTTAAATACTATATACATTAATTTCCTCATTTGGTAGGAAAGACCAAAGTATATAAATAAAGAGAAATTGAAACATTTTGTATAGTTACCTTAAATCACCATAGAGTTAAAAAGAGAAATTAACACTTAGACATATATGTCTAGGATTAAAACATGATATGATTTATAGGATATGATTGCTCTCTTACTTCATGCTATTTTCCAGCTGAACAAAGCCTGTCAACTAAAAGCAAATTAGTAGACTGTCCTGTGATAACACTGATTTCAAATCTAGTAATTTGATTAATTAACATATGTCTGCCATTTCAATGAGCAACTCTTAATACATCAAAAGAGCCTCGTTGAATCTGGAAGAGAGGAATTATATTTGAATCTGTTCTTTCCAAAAGTGTCTATTAAAAGTGTTTCCTTTATATGGTATTAATTACTAATTAGGACATCTAAATAAATATAACAATTGGTTAAAAGATAGGAATGTTAATGTAAAGCACATGTGTGAATATGAAGAGTTAATGAGTAGATTTAATTCATCTGTTTACTTGCTCAGAAGCAAGTGTGTCAGATTAACTCAGGGTGGAGATGTGTCTGAAAAGGTTTCAGAGCAAAATGGCACCTTAAGTGGATCTTATGAATGAGTATTTGCTAGACAGAGAAGGCAGATAGGGTTCTTTTCCTCATGAAGGAATGCATTGTGAAAAGGCAGTGAAAATTACAGTTGAGTACCATGAAAGGAACTGGGGACCACAAGTGGTATTTCTCTGTTTGGATGTGAAGATCACAATGAGAGTAGTGAGAGATGCTGGTAGAAATGATGGTCAATTGATAGAGGACTTTTATTCCTTGCTAAGGGTTTACTCCTCTAGTGCAGAGATGGGAAGTAAGCTTCATACTGTGAAACAACACTGATTTATATGCAGTTGCCCATATTTTCCAATCATTACTTTTAGAGTGGCATAGAGGATTGTGATCTGAGAAATCTTTTAGAAGGCTATGTAATAATTTAGAGCTAAGTCTCAGAACAAAGTTGGAGTAGAGAGGAGAGACAGTAATGAAAAATATCTATTGCTAGTATTTGGGATTTTTATTAGGTATGAGAAGTGAGGGTGAGGGGAAAGGAGAAATAGAAAACATGTCCCCAAATTTTAATTGAGCTACTGGATGGTTGGTACTATCATTAATTGAGGTAAGGGAACAAATAAGAGAGATATACTTGATGGTGGAGGTGGGGAAATGATACATTCCATTTTGTACATTTAAATGAGAACTTTTGTAGACACCTAGAAATACATATTGCATCTCAATAGAGAATTCAGATCTGGATCTGATGTTATCTACCTATAGGTAGTATGCAAAGCAGAGATGAATGATTTCATCCAGGTATATGAGCCCTTAGACCAAAGAAAATTGTGAAGACCAGCTCTGAGGAACACTAGAGTGGTGTCTTGCTATGATAGCAGTGAAGGAAGCTTTGAAGAACTCAAAGAGGTGGGAAGAAACAAGGGTGAAGTGGAAATACAGAAGCAAAGAAATGATGTGCTACACATATGCTGTAAAATTCATTTCTCTAAATACTTTTAAAATATATCTTTGCAATAAGTGTGATAAGCGGAAATGTGTCCCTCAGTGCTATAATTTTGATGTCCAGTGTATACCTTGACATACTGCTGTCAGCTTGGATTGAAGGATGTTATAAGAAAAAACTAATAGAAGTTTTTGTTGTGTTTGTTATGAATATATCTCTCTCCCTCCCTCTCTTCCTTTCCTCCTTCTTTCTTTCCCTCCTCCATCCTTTCCTTCCTCCTGTGGTGTTACACTCTTCCTTACACAAGTCCCTCCTTTTTCAGAAATCTTAGAAGAAATTTCACTTAAATCTCAGGAATAGAAACAGTTGTGCTACTACAGATCCATTATCTATCTCTCTTTGTCTACCTGCCTACCTACCTATTTATTTGTCAGTCACATATGCATTTTATCACCTATCTAGCATCGATGTATCTGATAGGAATGATATAATGTGAATCATGTAAAAGTTTCTGTTCCCCTTTCTGCGTTGACTACCAAAAATGTTGCACTCACTCCTGGGGACACCTCCCGCTGCAGGCCCTCACTGTGCATACTGTAAGTTGACTTCGCTGCTGACTCCATCCTTCACGGCCTGCCAAAATGTCGCATTCAGTTGTTCTAAATTTGATTCTTTCTTGCTAAGTTGTGTGAGTTTTGTAAAGCCTTTAAGTATTTGCTGGAACAGGAAAGAATATAGAAAACAAATTTGTGTATTAATTTTGAAGGGTTTTAATTTTGCAGTAATTTTGGGTTTTACAGTAATTTTGATCAATTGCAGACTTCCTTCAGTAAATGTTTGCTGAGCTGAGTCAATGACAGTTGAGTACATTGTTTCTCCAGGGCTCAACTTTTCTCAGCTACTCCAAATCCCCTTAGAAGTTTCTCTTGGTGGCTGACTTTGATGAGCACCTATCTCTGTCTTCTGCAGTGACAAGGACTGTCTGTGCAGAACAGTGTGATGGCAGGTGCTACGGACCCTACGTTAGTGACTGCTGTCACCGAGAATGTGCTGGAGGATGCTCGGGACCTAAGGATACCGACTGCTTTGTAAGTCTGGCAGCTGCCCCTTTCGCTCTCTGGTCCTCCCCTCCATCCTGATTTGACTCAGGCACATTGAGTCTTTAATATCTTATTAAGATAAGATCAAATTTTGCCATTTTAGGATTAAGAAAGATGCTCTGACTTCCTAGAAGTCATTCCTTCACTGGGTGGCTATTAATTAACTAGGATTGCTCTGTTCTACTAAACGAATTATGTCTTTCTGATTACAATTTATATTATGAGTGAGGTTTATTGGACAACATGAAGGAGAACATATTGAGATATCTTTTAAAAAGCTAACAGCATCCTTCCAGAATTTACGGTGATTACCTATGTGTGTTGTTGCATCGTTGAGTCGAGTCTTCTGAGTGGGGGCACTTGCATTTTATTTCTCAAATATAAATTTCAAGATTAAATCACACAAATTTGTGAATTTAACTGTTTTACAGTTTATATTGTTTACAAGCTAATATTATTCAAGATTTATAAGATTTACAAATGCACATTAAAGCAATTTATATGCTAATCTGTATGATTTTTTTTTTAGAAGAGGACACTTTTATGTCCTCAAAAGTAATATTTATAGCTTGTAGGGGTCACTTTTTAATTACATTTTGATATCCTTGATAAAGGTCTTTCTATTCTTTTGAATACATGCAGACAATTCTGTGAGCTATAGTTGATGAAATTTCATACACACAGAGCATTAGTTTCATTTTAAGCTAAAAATCATAAAATAATAAACTATTTTTGTTGCTAAAATTGCACACAGGAATTTATTTTGTTTTTTTTTTCCCCTCTCAAATATCCAGAGAATACACAGATATATTTAGAACTGAGTCTTTTTTTCAATTTGGCACTTAATTCTGGAAATAAGCAAATTATAGATTATAGCTCTTATGATGTAGATATATAGTAATTTCTTTTCTTAATGTCGCAAGAAACTTAATTTGTCTATCCTAATTTTATAGTGAAACAAAAGTGTGTATTGCAGAAATGAGTAGGGAGGAAGAAGGAAAGAGAAGAAAAATGTTAAAAGTATACAGAAGATGCTCAGCAGATCTTGAACTGAGACCCTTTCCCTTGCCTATCACCAGACGTGGGATTGAAGCTTGATCTGGAAGTTGCTGAACAAGTGTTTCAAAACAGTAATTTCAAAACAGTAGCAACAATAAACACCAACAATTGATGTTAACTTTCACTTAGAATCTTCACTGCATTTTTTTCATGGTTCCATTATCACAATAAGCAGAGTGCTGAGGGAGCTTCAGAATTCTCATTTCATTACTTTTATGGAGTGGTCCAGTGATTCCACTTTGGCATTTAGTACAGAATGTTCAAGAATACCAGACCAAGACTTTGGTGTAAGTTATGTTGTATTGTATACTGTCTGGAAGGTAAACTTGTTTGATTTCTCTGGCTTATGTCCATTTGTTGCCAAGCAATCTGTGCACAACACTGTATAAAATGTGTTAGTAAAGCAATTATGAGGACACATGAAGTTTTATACCCATAAATTAAAACTTACTGAGTTTCCTAGATTGGTTTTTAATAGATTCTTCCTGGAGAGTGTCATCTTAGTGAATAATGTATTATCAGTGAATCTCGTTCTGATTATGCACCTCGTAGACCATCATCAGGGAATTGTCATGTTTGTGATAAAGTGCTTGCTAAAACAACAATTGATTCAGAAAATGTTTTGAGGAAACAGAATAAATTAGTGCTTATTAATAAGCATACGTACAATATATGATGATATGTAAAATATAGCTTGAGTTCACATTAGCTTGCCTTCCAAGGCCTAAATTATTCCTATGAATGTTTAAATTGTTAAATTAAGATAATTAGTTCATCCCCTATTTTGCTAATCACATGTTTTTATGTACTTATACATATGTTCTCTTTTCATATCAAATACCTAACTCTTAGGTGGTACAATTGTTTTTAATCATTCTCAAATGCATTTGAACATATTAACAAATTGAGGTCTCAATACAAATATATGTCAGCAGAAACAAATTTATTTGAACTGGTGACTTTTAGTAAATGGTATAACATTATGAAAAAGACCATTAGGAAATGGTATCATGTTATTTAATTATGGGCTAAGTATAGCTACTTCTTTACATTTTGGCATCGTACCCCCTACATTTACACTTGACTAGTCACCTGCCAGAGACTTTTCTTTAAGTCCAGTTTGAATGACCATCACATTTTCTCACTATACGATGGTGATGAATGGACTTACCATATCACTTAAGGCACTGAACTCTCCAAACCAGCTTTAAGGAAAGTCTAGCCTGTACAAATGGAGATTTAGTTGTCACTGCGAGACTCTAAGACTCAACATAAACCCTTTGGATAAGGGTAAGCTTAAATAAGTTTTCACTATTATCTAACTTTAATAATTTAAACCAATTCTCAGTTTAGAAATCAATGGATAGATACCAAGCAATTAGAACATCAATAACTGTAGATGGTGTATTTACTGACATTAGAAAAACAGTTTTGTAAAATTGAGAAGTACAAAACAAATGCAAAGTTAAAAAATAAGCCCTTACAACTAGGAAGTTATCAGATTTTCCAGTTTTTATGAAATTGATGTACGCTGAGTAAACAATACAACCTATCACAGAACTGTTGTAGCAGTGTCCCTTTAACAAGTATTATGAAGGTTATTTTTAAAACAAAATTAATCTTTGCTGTGTTGCAGGCCTGCATGAACTTCAATGATAGTGGAGCATGTGTTACTCAGTGTCCACAAACTTTTGTCTACAATCCAACAACCTTTCAACTGGAGCATAACTTCAATGCAAAATACACCTATGGAGCATTTTGTGTCAAGAAGTGCCCACGTAAGTAACAGGATAAGAAGAGCCAAATCAATTAGCTCATCATTTAAAAACGGAGGAATTTCATGTAAGTTTATTGAATTTCAAAATTGTGACAATATTGTGAATTACTTGAGAATTGGTACTATTATTATCATTTCACAAATAAGAAAATTAAAATTCAAAAAACTGAAGTGATTGGTTCCTAGTCTCAGCAAAGTAGTGGCATGTTTGAAGTTATAGTACAGTGTCATTCATTGACTTCTAAACTCAATATTTTCACTATATGTCAATGGTTTTGCGCACGATTTTGTTCCTCAGAAAAGTGATTAGTTAAGTAGCAGCAAGCTATGTAATGAAAGAGATCTGCTCTAATAACAATGCATTTTCACCTAAAATTATTTCTTATTATTTATTTGTAATAGAATATATAGCATTGTAGTTTTAACATCAAATCCAATGTTAAACAATAACAGTGGATATAAAGGGCATGTTAAGGGGCCTTTACCAAATTGACAATTCATCCTGGGGATACAAAATGACCAATTTAGCTTTCATCAAGAATAGTATATATCTCAATACCTGTTCAAGTCAGTTTCTTTGCTTGAAAAGACCAATGAGACAGTTCTTCAATGTTTTACTTACTGGAAGGCTAAAAAGAACCACTACTTTTATCCACATACTCAATTAAAAGAAGACTTTACATTCTACAGCACACAGATACTGTGTTTTTGTTCCTGTTTTGCTTTGTCCACGTGATGAAGTATGAAGTGTAAGGGACATGGTATTAGAGTGGCTTCGGTTATAGCTTTGCCCACTTATTAGTCGTGTGATTTTAGATAAACTATTTAGTTTTCTATTTCCTCTTCTTTAAAATGTGGATAATCATATGTACCCTCTCTCTTTCCCAGATACATTATAAAGATCAAAGGGATAGGGGATAGGGTTCAGAGGAATAGTATGTAAAAACAAGTCTTTGAAAGCAATGATGATTCCAGCCTTTATTATTAAATATTTTATATTGATTAAAAGAATAATTATGAGTGTATATATATATATATATATATATATTTAATATGGCTCTAACTTACCATTTTAAAATCACAGACACACTAACTCTAGGATAGAAGAGATTTTTTCCGTCTTAAACAATTTTATATCCAAAGTTATGTTTTTGATCTAACAACTTCTCATCTGAAGTAACCCTATATTTCCCCGTCTACTATCTTGCAAAATACGGGGCTTGAGAGTATTGTAGAATGTGGCTAGATGATGAATTTCTTTGGTTTCTTACGCAAATGTCCTCCTGCTCTACTACTTCATATTATGGTGGCTTGCCCCAAAGATAGTCAAAACCATGCTTTTTTGAAATTTTTGGTGCTTTCCTTTTTATTCAGGCCCTGGGGTTGAGGCCCAAGGCTTGGGCTGGAGTGGAAGACCAGAAAAACCTGAGCTAGGGAATTTTCCTTTTCTTTATTACATCCTTTGTAGTGTCTCATCTGAAGTCTCTCAGCTCCTAAGTTATGACAAGGGGCTAAATACTTCGGACTGTTTTTTGAAATTAAATGCCCAGTTACCATAGATATGGTAACTCATAAACTTCCTTTCATGGATTAGTTTAGGTCTATCCAATTACAGATTAATTTAAAGAACTTCATTTTTTATCTATGTAAAATTCAAATCTTTGAGGGACCTTGATCATAATGCATGGTTTGCTAAACTGTAGCTGTCTTAGAAAAACAAAGATGTTCAGTTTCTAAATACTGGTCTACAATTCCTAATTTAGAATTCTGAAATTCAGAAACCCTAAACAACAAATATTTTTTGAAACTAATTTGACTGCAAAATCTGAACCTAACCGAAGATATTTGTAACCTTTTTTAAAAATTTCACTTGGCATAAATTGCTGCAGACCTGTGGAAGTTTTTAAATACGAGGTATCCCTAAAGACCTTGCAGAAAGGATGTTTATACCTGTTGCAGGTTGGGTTCCCCTGAGACAGAGACTATGGTTGTTTAAGAAGTGTTCTCAGAATCAAGACCCATGAGGGAAGGAAATGAAGCGAGATCAGGCTGTGATGCAGTCTCAGCAAAGTGTCTCTTTTGTGGTGGATGCCCTCTAGTGGATATTAACTTGGAATACAAAGATCTTCACACTTTATATCCACTCTCATGGATTTATATATATGCCTCTACCCCAGACTCCCTTCAATCCCAATTCCAGATTTTCCAGTACTTCTTCTCCTAGGGCAAGCCACTGCTCATGAGTTCATATTTATTCTAAACTCCTATTTATTCCCCACAAAGTAAAGGATCATTTGCACTACCCAGAACTATGCGCATTGGTGGGATTTTTCCTTGCCACTATATTTCAAGTCCACTCCTGACTGAGGCTGCAGGGCAGCTGCCATCCATTTTCAGCTGCTTGCACCCACACCCCAAGCTTAGTTTTTGTCTTCCTCTGTCAGCTTGTCATACGTGCCCTCTCTTGGTCTCCATGCAGCCATGGGTATGAGCTTAGTGAAAGGTGCCAGCACAGTGGTGGATGACGTGGGGATTTGGACCACCTGCTTATGCAGTTTACTTGTGCGTCTACCCCTGCTCACATCAATCCCAAATGTACTGCTTCCATCTTACAATGGATTGCTGTTGGACCTGCTCAACATTATGATGGTTTTTAACAAAACCTTGTGTATGTTGGGCAACTCTGGCTACAAGATCAATCCGTGACTCATGGTTAGGTAGTCTGTCTCTGCCAGGACCCAGAAGTATGTCAGGAGTTGTTTATTAAATGGTGTATAATTCCTAGAGGTCTCAGCTGGGATTTCCCGGTCGGGACTTGCCATAACTCCACGTGGCATATCTTCCCGCCAGAGATACTTCTAATGTCATAGAGCCTCTTGGGTTTTGTGATCCAAGTAGCAGAATTGCTTGTACCCCAGCCTGGACCTGCATCATGTGCCTTTCCTGCTCTGGGCCCCCTTCAATGTCGGAAGCCTTCTAGACTACTGAATGTTGGGCCAGAAGCAGTTTTTCCAAACATGGAAGGATGCTGCCTTCAAAACCCAAAGCAGCCTAGCAGGTATTGTGTTTTCCCTTTATCGTGGGAGGCCCTAGATGCAAAAATTTGTCCTTATTTTTGGGAGGGAATGTTCTGGTATATTCCAGACCACTGGATTCCTAAACATTTCACCATGTCAGGTAATTAGATGTTCCTGGTTTAGTTAATATACCTTTCCTAAAGTACTGCCCTTTCAAATTTCATTTTGTTTCTTCGTGTAAAACTATGGGACAGTTTCTACGGCACTCCAATGAAAGATGAACACATTTTAAACATTTCTTCTTGGATATGAAGTGCACTCCCTTCATCCAAGGCAGTTTAACTTCAGCTTCATTTGTGCTTCATGTAACTTGAAGTATTTTTAGACTTCAAACTTGCATCATGACATGAAATGAAGTGGAACTACTGAAAAACACAAACTAAATGTCATGCAGTTTCCTAAGTCTATAAAAGAAATTCACTATCTTGGGGGCAATTCAGAATGTGGAGCAGTAGTCAAGCAAGTACCAGTTGTTGTTAACACACACTGCCCTTAGATTTGAATGTAGGTGTTCGTAGATGCTATTTCAGGTGGAGATATTTAGACAGAGTTGTTTTAGGGAAAGAAATATACATACTATCATTTTCAAATGAAAATAATTTTCAAACCCTAAAATATCTTGTTTTAAAATCTTTTGCTGAACCTCAACATTATTGTTAATTTTACCTTTTTTTTTATCAGATAACTTCGTGGTCGATTCCAGTTCCTGTGTGCGTGCCTGCCCTAGTTCCAAGATGGAAGTAGAAGAAAATGGGATTAAAATGTGTAAACCTTGTACTGACATTTGCCCAAAAGGTGATGATATTTTTTTTTCATTTTATAATGAAAAAATACTGTTATTTTATAATACAAATGCAATAATTTATTGACTAAAGAAAAATTTTCTCAGCTCTCTAATTGTGCATCTTGTTTCCACAGCTTGTGATGGCATTGGCACAGGATCATTGATGTCAGCTCAGACCGTGGATTCTAGTAACATTGACAAATTCATAAACTGCACCAAAATCAATGGGAATTTGATCTTCCTAGTCACTGGTATTCATGGGTCAGTATTACATTTTTGTGGAAAATTGTTTTACGAAGTGCAGACAAAGCTTAAGAGATTCTTTAGTTTTGTCTGTTTGATTCCTTTTGACACAGAGTTGCACTACACATTAATGCTTTCCTCCAACAAAGTCAAATGCCAGATTTCACCAGCAGTGATAGTAAACCAAATTTTGGGGGTACCTCCAGATTATGAATTTGGTGACAACTTAGATTTAAAAATATAGATTTATATATAAGCTAAGATGTATTTACAGGACATTTTCCTCAAATCCATAGATTTCAGTAAGCTTGGCACATTTGTGGATATGTTTAGGGAAACAGTATCAGTGGACAAAGTGGGGAATTTCATTCAAATTCCTAACCAATTAGTTCAAAACAACATAAATTAATGCATCTCACAGAAAACAAATCAGTAAGTTGAAATTCTGAGCTTTCAGGTATTTTCTTTGCCTTGCTGTATCTTTTTCTGTTTTAGACTTGGGAAGTTAGTGATAAATCTATTAAATGAATTTCATTTTAGCAATAAAAATTGTAACATTTTCTGGGCCCCTTCATTACAGAACCACCTGCTGTTTTTAACTGGGAAAATGACCAAGTTTGCATCCTTTCAACTGTAATGAAAATATCAATATTTTTACTTTATATTTTATCTATTTGTATATATCACTACTTAATCCCTAAATATTAGTGCTACGGGCTACAGATAAAAAATATCACTCACATATTTCAATTCAAAAGATAACTCTAAACATATATCATTTCTAGAAGCAAAACAATTTAACACATTATGAATAAATACGTCAAATAGGAACAACAAGAGAAATAGAACAAAGCGTTTCTTTCCATTCAGATAAATTACCATAGGTCTTAGTACATAAAGCATTTCTTTACTTTAAAATATAGCTTTTAATATGGATCTGTGCCAGAAACTGTAATAGTATGTATTCACTTTCTGTTATATTTGGTCTAAGAGGTGTTTCTTGTTGTTTTGTTTTTTTAAAATAAGATCCAGATTTTTAACGTCTCTTTAAAAAAAAATGTGCATGTGATTACTCTTAGTTTACATGGCAACAACCTATTGGAGATGGGTGGTACTACCATTTTGAGATGGGACACATTCAGTCGGCTCCACCATGGACAATCTGTATTGAGCTGTGTGGCTTCCATGTCAAACAACTCCAATGTAAAGTTGAGAACTGGGTTAATAATAAATACCTACATCCTCTGGTTGTTGTGGAGATTCAAAATAAAACAAAATATACATTTTTTTAAGTGTTCAGCCCAGTGCCTGGCATACAGTAAACCTTAATAAATGGTATAAAAAAGAAAGAAAAAGGTGGGGGAAGGGAAGGAGTAAAGGAGGGAAAGGGGAGAGAGAGAGAGATAAAGAGAGAGATTGAAAAGTAACAAAAATAGAAGTTAAAAATCGCTAAACCCCCGAAACAAAAGAAAGTTAATAAAAAGGAGAAAAAGGCACTTCAAGAGGAAAATCTCAGTGACTATATCTAGTATATAGCACAGCATATAGTGCAACAGATAATATCTCATAGACTACTGGAAACCAAATAAAGACAAAGTTATTTTCATGGCAATCCTTACTTTACGATGTCATACTTCCTAGTTCAGACGATTATTATTTGTCCTTATTTATAGCACTTAAATTTAACATTATAATTAATATTATTGTGTCTTTAGCATAATATATAAGGCATTTTCCAGGACAAATATATATGTGAAATATGATATGTTCCTCACTCCTAGTCTCATGCCAACATGAAACATATTCTGAAGCCTTTCCCTTTCATTTTAGGAAAGTATTAATATAAAGTTAATTGAGTAGGTCTCAGACACTTATGTGTAGGCATATGTGTATTCATGTATGTAATATGTGTGTGCATATGGACAAAGAGAGAGATTTTAAAGATGAATAACATGAGGTATTATTAACAAAGCTTTCAGTAAATTAACAAAATTTTTTACTTCACTTAATTTCCATTACCCTAAATCTTCTACTATCTAGTTTTTAATAGGATGTATGGTTTGATTAAAATAGCTAGGGTATTTCTTTAAACTAACAGAAATGAAAAACCCATAATTAAGTAAGGGTGTACTTTTCAAAAACAAATTTCTGCAAAAAATAAATTTACTGTGAAGTTGTCAACTAAAATGTTAACATATAAAAGAGATCAATGTTCAGTTTATAGCATGATACCACCATTGCTAGAAATAAACTAGGCATTCTTATTTCCTTATTTAGAATGGGAACTGCAGACAAAATTCAGCGTTCAGGGTTATCATAGGATCCCCTTTCATGTCTTGTCATGTCTAATAATGTCCCTGTGAATATGCTTAGAGCAATAAAATGCTCACCAAATAAGCATGTTCATGCTGTGTCACAGTGTGACACAAACAAGAAAGTACTTAGATGACAGACTGTAATGATGATAGACAATGGGAAACAGATAATGAGCTTGGTGAAAAAAATAACGTGATTTCTATGGAATTGTGAAAATATGTTTCTCTCTCTTTCTCCTGAGCTTTATTTTGGATCACCCAACACAATAACAGGGTGGACATAATGTTTTTTTTCATGGTCCTGAATTTAGCTAGGAAAGTTCTCAATTTTAAAATCTATGGATTTCAAGTGGCTGTAGGGTGGAACGCCCTAGGGGTACTTTTAAGTTGGTAAGTGGGATTCTGTCAATTTATTTTATGAGAGTCCTGAATCTCTAAAATTAAGTATATAAAATTTCTGTGGTCCGCTGGGCTTCATGTGAACAGTCCAGAATTCATTTCATTCGTGGCAACCTGGAAGTGTTCTCAGTAAAGGTTTGGACTGACCCCATTATTGTGTGCTTGACCTGAACTTTGAGTGTTTCTCAGTAAAGCAGGAATATTTGATTATATGGCTAGAGCTATTCTAGACACTGCTTTTCATCAAAGAACAAATGTTGAAAGTTCATTCTACTACTGCAGAGCTGATATTTCATGTGCATGCAGACATCTTTGCACATTAGAAAATGATAGCAACCAGAATTTTCCCTCATGATGAACCTAATTTTGTGGCTCCATTTTCACTGAAAGCATAGATATTCATTCTATATATCTTCAGTTACAAATAGAGCAAGTTTGCTAGAATATCAATTTAGACTTTAAGCTTTTGAAAGATATTCATGTCACATTAAGGAAAATCTTAATTGTTTATGTGTGAATTATGGGGACACTCATTTATAGTGTTTCCAAGCCTTCTATAACACGCCATGTTAAACTAGTAGCACAATGTATTGATTAAACTTCTTAGTTTTTCTCAGTTTGAAGCAGTAATTTCATCAAGCAAGATTTTTTTTTTCTTTTAAAAGATATGAGATGGTTCACAGTATAGAAAATATGCTGATGAATCAAGCAGAGAGAGCCAGTAAAAGGTGGTTCCAGAGATCAAGGTTGCTGAACTAATAGAGAATGTTTTCAAGGCTCTAATGCCAGGATGAATAAATGCCGGTGGATTCAGAATCAGATTCTTAGAAGAAAGGCCATATGCTTATCTGTTGGTCAGGGGATTGTGGAGTACATTGACTGATAGCCTCCAATGGATCATGTATCCTAGTGTTTATTCCCCATGTGAAAAAGAAGGTTCTCAGAGACTGGTAAAACAACAGATATCCAGTACAAGGATAAAATTCAGTTGATTGCTAAAGGTGGATACAAACTGCTAAAAGAGCCTAATTCCTTGTTTTTAGAATGTTTGATCTCTCTTGGAGAAATGACCAGTGAATGGAATTTAATTTTTCTCTGAAGAGTATATATTAATATAAGGTTTCTACTTGCCCAGAATAGCACAGAGCACCTTTTAAAGTAATAAAACCTAGAAAAACTACTAAATATTACTTAAGAAAATCTGAAAGTATTGTTTGAATTACTGAGAAATGTTTAATATTATGTTTATATTTGGCTTAATATTCAAGAATGTAATTATTTTGTATGGGCAGGATGTTATAAATGAAAAATAGTTTCCTAAGATGAAAACTTCTGAACAATTCCATTAAATATTTAATTTTAAAGGTATTTTATATTAATTTTTGTAAAGACAGGGCATTTATGTATCAATAACATTAATTACAAAAAATATATTTATGCATTAGGAGATTGTATTTTTAAAAATCCCCAAAATTTACAACACGTTTTGAGTATTGTTAAATTTGTGGTAAATTTTATTTTCAAATGTTAGTATGATTCATACAGAGGGAAGCAAATAGTTCCTGTCATATGAAAGTGAACATAAATAAACAGATAGGAACAAGATTGCCCTGATAGATAAATGTGAAAATACAGAAAAATAAAAAAGTTTACTTCCTGTATTTGTTTTCACCTTTCTTATGAAATTACAGGTTCTGTTAGCAATTTAGTATGCTTTGAGGAACCCAAAAGGCAATTATTCTCACAATAACATAATTTATTTGCAGTGTATATTTTTCCAATTGAGAATAAACTTTTAAAGGCAAAATAAAGTGGTTAGTGAGTGGAATTGCTATATTTGGAGATTTATTCAGGATAGTCAAATTGAACCGTTCCTCTGGATCTAGAATAGCCTTCAATGAAGAACTCATAATCTGTGTCATCAAAATTTCCTGAAAGTACCTTTTAATCCCCTTCCACATCTAGCATAGAAAATCTGGATAAAACATTGCTAACCTTCCTATTTCTAATTAAAATTCAATTGGAATGAAATAATTTTTTTCACATTTCTCATTTTTTTACCCCTTTATTTAATTTTAAATTTGGGTTTATTTTTTTTTTTTTTTTTCCCTAGGGACCCTTACAATGCAATTGAAGCCATAGACCCAGAGAAACTGAACGTGTTTCGGACAGTCCGAGAGATAACAGGTAATTTTTAAAGTGAGCTTGTTGTGCTATGAACTATGTGAATTTTAGTCTTTTGTTAAAAATATTACATAGTATTGGAATTTTCAAAGCAAACTCTAGTTTTGAAAACACATATTATTTTAAATGATGGGTGTCTTAGTTCCTTAGCATCTGTGCACATTTTGAAATCTGTGGAATTAAAAAAAAAATCCTTGAAATTTTGATGTTACTGTTTTTGCAAATGTCAGTGGATCTTTGAATCAATGTGTTTCTATTTACTTTTCACAAGTACTATTGAGGATGGGTAGCAGGTAGGATTCATTTAGTACATGTTTATTGAGGACCTGATATGTTCAGAGCTGTCATAGTAGATGATATGGGGCCCATAGACATGAATCAGACATGGGTTTGCTATCAAAGAATGTAAAATCAAATAAGGAGGCTTAGTTATATACATAAATGTCTTAGAATGCAAGACAGACTGCTGATGTTGTAAATGTACAGATAAGGTGGCAAAAGATTTCAGAGAAATTAAACTCTTTGTCTAGTTAGACTAAATAATTTTTCCATTTAGAAGAATAAATTAAATTAAGAATCATTTAAATCTTTAAACCATACACTTATATGATTCTGTATGTATATATTCTTGGTGTTCATTATTTTGACATTCATCATCTATTGAGTATTGTAGCCCAGAAACTTTGGGTAAGACACTGAATATTGGAAGAAGAAATATGATACAGAATGGTGCAAAAATAGGAATATTTGCTACCTTCTCCTTACCTCCCATTTTCATCATATTTTAAGAATAATTGGTATTAAACACTGTTACTGAGACAATGATATTCTGAATTATTTTACTGCCCTTATCTTTTGTAGGTTTCTTGAACATACAATCATGGCCCCCAAACATGACTGACTTCAGTGTTTTTTCTAACCTGGTGACCATTGGTGGAAGAGTACTCTATAGGTAGGTGTATATATTCAAAGTTACAGGTCTCTGAATCATGTGTACATTATGTCATAGCCATCAGACTCATTGATTTACTGATTCTAGAAATATTGGTTTTCCACTTTAAATTTTAAAGGAAAACTCAATGAAAAATACCCCTGATTGTGCTTTAAAGTATACAACTTGATTTATCAACTGCCTGTCACTTAAAGTAATTTTAGTGTTTGGCAGTTGTGGAGTACATGATGTGAACCATAAAACTGAACCTTCTTTTTGATCATATGTTATCATAATTAAAAGATAGACTTGAATGACTTTGTAATGACTTCGGTGTATGGGATACAAATGCTGTTTTTCCAGGAGGTTCTCGTTTTGTCTCTGGAGCTATCATTTGAACAAAGTATCACAGCGCTGATATTTTAGAATTTGGTCCACTATGCTACATGCAGTGCTGGTTAATAATGGACAGATAATCAGGGCTCAGAAGGATACTGTTCTAAAGTTCTAATGTCAATATTTTTATTCACATAAGAAAAATGTATGTTTTAATATTTATTAAGCCACTGTTTTTATTTTACTTCAGATTTCATCTGCACAAAATTATTGTTTATGAACCGTTAAAAGTCTATTTATATAAAGAGACCTTGATAATTTTTCTACTTAAATCTGAAAGATGCCTAAAGTCAATACTGTCGTTAAATATTCTATAATAATGGTTCACAGGAAGTCCATTGAATTTTGCTATTAAAACAGGTATATCTGTAAGAGGTTCTAACATGTAAAGGGGAAAAGTGCTTAATAAAAAGGATAGTTGAGAGATATAATCTATTCAAGTGCTATATGGAACCAATTGAATAAAGTGTTATAAATCTAAGTCAAGGCATTATTATGCTCACATTGTAATCAACAACTAAGGATGGTTATGATGGGAACAAAGATTTGAGAGAGTGAATTACATCCCATTTGGGTACACATACACGTTATATATCTGTATATTATAGTTCTCCATGCATGTGTATATATAAAACATGAAAAAAAATCTGAGTACTAAAAGCAAAGCAAATTTAGAGGACAGTTTTGATTTCCAAAATATAAAATAATGTTCATAAGTTGATTGAAATGTGGGAAACACATTTAGTCTTTAGAAAATGGACAAATAATTTAATTACAAAGTGGACTATGTTGAGAAAACAACATCCTTGAAATGATAATTTGTTTCTACAGTGTAGTTGTTATTTAACTTTTAGAGATGCTTTCTCACTTGTCCAAGCCTTCTGAGTATCTTTTTTAATTTTAGTTTAATTTTATTCTTCTCTTTAATTTTTAACATCTCCTATCCTTATACATTTTTCAAGTATTACAATTAACGCTTTGGTTTCTGAGGTATAAATTAAAGCTAAATATGGTCATTCTCTGAGATATTTACTTCTGAAAGTGTGTCTAAATCTATTAAATAGTTAGAGCTGAATTAATGTCTTACTTTGGGTAGATGAACAGTCACCCCATAAACATTTATTTAATTATTTAGTCTTAATACAGGATTTAATTCTTGAGGACCTTAAGATTCAGGGGTTAGGAGGGAAGGCAGTGAGCAGATACGTCAGTGGTACATATATAGACAGAGACAGAGATATCATTGATATTCATAATTATAAAAGATGGGCTTTTTTGGGGGGGTTCAAGTGATTACTTTTAAAACAGCATATAGCATGTAAAGAAATAGTATTTGTGGGCTTCCCTGGTGGCACAGTGGTTGAGAGTCCGCCTGCCGATGCAGGGGACACGGGTTCGTGCCCTGGTCCGGGAGGATCCCACATGCCGCGGAGCGGCTGGGCCCGTGAGCCATGGCCACTGGGCCTGCGCATCCGGAGCCTGTGCTCCACGACGGGAGAGGCCACAGCAGTGAGAGGCCCGTGTACCGAAAAAAAAAAAATAGTATTTGTATCTCAGATTTATTAATTCAATCTTTTTTACACTCTATTAACATTCTTTTTGGAGTAAGATATGACATCCTTATTTTACTTAAAGAATGCATGTCATGGCCAGAAAACAATTATTACTGTTCCATTTTTTTCCTCTCCCCTCTCTTTAGTGGCCTTTCCTTGCTTATCCTCAAGCAACAGGGCATCACTTCTCTGCAATTCCAATCCCTGAAGGAAATCAGTGCAGGAAACATCTATATCACTGACAACAGCAACCTGTGTTATTATCATACCATTAACTGGACAACGCTCTTCAGCACAATCAACCAGAGAATAGTGATCCGGGACAACAGGAAAGCTGAAAACTGTAGTAAGTACATTACCCAAACATTAAAAATCTAGAAACTTTAAACATTATTTTTCTCATTCTACATTGGACCAAACAGTTAAACATAGTGGTGGGTCAGAATTGTTGTCATCTTTTTCTCAACCCTTAAAAAAGGTTGGTATAAAATAATCAAATGGGTAACTTTTTATAATACATTGCATGTTTTTATAATGTATTTCGTGTTCTCAAATCTTGCCTAATCATAAGAACCCTTCTGTGGAGATTTAGATTCAATAGGTGTAAGTGGAGCCTGGGAATCTAAATGTTTAATAAGCATCCTGGGTAATTCCTTGGATCCAATCAATTTATGGAAATCCACTCTATTAAATTTTCTGTTTATTTTTTGCTTCAGAGAATTTGATAACATAGAATAACAAAGTATTTGCCATTTAGGAGTGGTGAAAAAAAAAAAAAAGACGTGTTCTTCTGAAATGTGTAAAAATGCTGTTCCAGTAGTTTGCTAAACTTCATTTCATCAATGTGTTTTTGTAGGCATGGAGTGATCTCTTTTTTCATGTATTTTACTACTTTTTAATCCATTCCATCACTTCTTTGTTACACAGAAGCAAATAATGTTTTCATGAGTATATAACTAAGTCATTCCCATCTTATACTTTGATACTCCAATGATTAATACTTAATTCTTCCCTGTTTTTGTCCTGGGTATTACTTTATTCTGCATCCTATAAGTGCTACTACTATGCATATAGTAGTGACTTACTTATAATAAATGCAAAATAAAATGACTTAGAATTCAAAGAATCTGTTTACAAATGTATATTCTTGTTGTGGTCATGATAAGTCAGTCCTTTTAAAAGTCACATTTCTTAAGAAACATTTTGCTCTTAGGAAGTCTTCTTGCTTCTTTAATCTCACCATTGGAACAATCACAAGGGTATACATACATAATGATTAAGTTCATTAAGTATGTGAATGAATAGTATAGGACTTCTTAAAAAATGTAAACTCTTAAGAGGCCAACATGATTTAAATTTACCAAGTAGTCCATGAACTAATTAATTAATTTATACCCCACCTTGTACCAGAAAGGGTTTAAGGCAGCTCAGGCTAGCAATTTTTACAAAATATAGCTTATAATTTGTGAGGAATTCACATTTTAGCTCTTTTGGATCCTGAAAATTATTTTCCAGAGAAAAGAGACCTATTGCAACATGAGATTCCTGTTTTGAGTGAACTTAAGTTCTTATATATTCTTCTGTTCCTCATAGAATCAAGAAATATAAAATATTGTTATATATCAAAATATGCATGTCCACATTGAATGAGATTTATCCTTTCATTGAGCCTAGATTGTTTCCTTGGTTTTATACATTTCTGAAACCTGACAGAAAGCTTGCTTTTTTTTTTTTTCTACTTAAGCTTCTTATCTCACAATACTATATTTGTGTTTGTACATGCCCCAGACAAAGCAGATTATTCATGGAAGTAAAATAGAAACTTTTTCAACACTAACTTATAAATATTTCCCTAAGTTAGGGTTATACTCTCCTTTTCTTTCACTTCAAAAAATGAAACAAAATGAAAATAAAACAATAGTACCTCTACCTTTTAAAGGTAAGATTTAGGTATGAAGACAAAAAAAAACAAAAAAAACTAAGAAACAATAAAAGAATGAGAGAAAAACATTCTTTTTCTTTAACTCATTTAATCATTTCACAAATCCCTTCTTTTACCTTTTGTAAACCTGAATAAAAAGCAAATGGGAAAAGAAAATGTGGAAAGAAATTAAATGTGAAAAAGCAAGATAGGAAAAATGTATGTAATTATTCCATATCTCTTTAAGACTTCTAAAATTTTGAAAAAAACAAAAGAAGATAAATAATATTAATAAATTAAAAATCTAACATTTTCTTCAACTTTCAGTGTTAGGTCTCTTGGAGGTTGATCCACTTTTCAAACCATGAACATATTTTATAGTTGACTTTACAGTTTCAGGAAGAAATGAAGCAATTAGAAGAAAGCAATTTTGTGGTGCTATAATTTAATATTAAGCATATAATTTTTCATTTTTAACATCTTAGAGTAAACAATTTTTGCATGAAATCCATTTATCAAAATTTGGGTTTCGATCTCATAGTACATTGGATCCTGCATTTTCAGAAATGTAATTATCCTATAAACTTGGCTTCAGATGTGCTGCTGATGTTTACACTGAACCTACAATGACTGCCCACATGTGATTAAGGCCATTTCATCATCCACAGTGTTATCTGCAAAGAGGAAAACAAATATTTGCTTCATTTTAAATGTACTTAAATATTGCATTTTTAGACATTCTTTCTTAATATACCACACACAAGACATATATGAGCACACACACATATTCATTACAAGACATATGGATACACAGACGTACAGCATAAGGTGTGTATTCATATGCTCACACAACACATACACATGTACACAACCCTCGGACACTTACACATGCATTCACACGCATAAACGCAAACACACAGTCACCATAAAATACTCTCATCTAAATCTGTATATTGGCTTGGTAGCTTAAAAGAAAAATCAACCTTGATTTTTAAGTGTTTTTTGGAGTTCAACATGATTTAAAACAGCAATGACAATAAAAGAAAAACCTCACCTCATCTATAAAGTGTGACCATAGCTTGAGCAATCTTACTCTTTTAAGTCAAAATTTTCAAAGTAGACATACAGATGTCTTTATGGTTTGAAGAGATTGAGATTGAGAGAAACTCTAGGACATGAAAAGCTGGAACATTTTCTACCTCCTTTATTTGTATGGTTGTTGTAGGGACAAAACAGTGCTGGTTGGAAGGAGTTTTATAGCAGGTTTATAAAAGTATTTGAAGTTTCTTTAAATAGTTAAGCATAAATTTTTAACACCAGAATATAAACAGTGAAGAGATAAATACAACAAACCTTTGTAATCTGAATTACATTTGAACTCAGACATCTTTATTTTTTAAATATTTGCACATATACACTTAAAACCAACATAAAAATGAGAGAAACTATATTCATAATTACCTTTCAAATTGAAATAATTTTATTTTTTAATTATAATAGTGCTTTTATCATTGTTAGAAAACAAAACAATGGACAAATTGTAAAATTTTTTGTTCTAATTCTGTGAAGAATGCCATTGGTAGTTTGATAGGGATTGCATTGAATCTGTAGATTGCTTTGGATAATATTGTCATTTTCACAATATTGATTCTTCCAATCCAAGAACATGGTATATTTCTCCATCTGTTTTTGTCATCTTTGATTTCTTTCATCAGTGTTTTATAGTTTACTGAGTACAAGTCTTTCGCCTCCTCAGGCAGGTTTATTCCTAGGTATTTTATTCTTTTTGTTGCAGTAGTATATGGGAGTGTTTCCTTAATTTCTCTTTCTGATTTTTCACTATTGGTGGAGGAATGCAACAGATTTCTGTGCATTAATTTTGTATCCTGCAACCTTACCAAATTCATTGATTAGTTCTAGTAGTTTTCTGGTGGCATCTTTAGGATTCTCTATGTATAGTATCATGTCATATGCAAAGAGTGACTGTTTTACTTCTTCTTTTCCAATTTGTATTCCTTTTATTCTTCTTTCTTCCCTGATTGCCATGGCTAGGACTTCCAAAACTGTGTTGAATAAGAGTGGCAAGAGTGGACATCCTTGTCTTGTTCGTGATCTTAGAGGGAGTGCTTTCAGTTTTGCATCATTGAGTATGATGCTTGCTGTGGGTTTGTCATATATGGCCTTTATTTATTTTTTATTTATTTTTAAATTAAATTTATTTATTTATTTTTTTGGCTGCGTTGGGTCTTTGTTGCTGCACCCGGGCTTTCTCTAGTTGTGGCGAGCAGGGGCTACTCTTCATTTTGTTGCGCGGGCTCCTCATTGCAGTGGCTTCTCTTGTTGCGGGGCATGAGCTCTAGGTGCACAGGCTTCAGTAGTTGTGGCTCGTGGGCTCTAGAGCGCCGGCTCAGTAGTTGTGGCTCATGGGCTTAGTTGCTCCGCAGCACGTGGGATCTTCACAGGCCAGGGCTTGAACCTGTGTCCCCTGCATTGGCAGATGGATTCTTAACCACTGTGCCACCAGGGAAGCCCTATGGCCTTTATTATGTTGAGGTAGGTTCCCTCTCTGCCCATTTTCTGGAGAGTTTTTATCATAAATGTGTGTTGAATTTTGTTGAAAGCTTTTTTTGCATCTATTGAGATGATGATATGTGTTTTATTCCTTAATTTGTTAATGTGGTGAATCACATTGATTGATTTACATATACTGAAGAATCCTTGCATCCCTGGGATAAATCCCACTTCATCATGATGTATGATCCTTTCAATGTGCTGCTGGATTCTGTTTGCTAGTATTTTGTTCAGGATTTTTGCATCTATGTTCATCAGTGATATTGGTCTCTAATTTTCTTTTTTTGTGTATCCTTTTTCTGGTTTTGGTATCAGGGTGATGGTGGCTTCATAGAATGAATTTGAGAGTGTTTCTCCCTCTGCAATTCTTTTGAAGAATTTGAGAAGAATGGGTGTTAGCTCTTTTCTAAATGTTTGATAGAATTTGCCTGTGAAGCCATCTGGTCCTAGACTTTTGATTGTTGGAAGATTTTTATTTATGGTTTCAATTTCATTGCTTGTGGTAAGTCTGTTTATTTTTTCTAATTCTTTCTGGTTCAGTCTTGGAAAATTTTACCTTTCCAAGAATTTTTCCATTTCTTCGGGGTTGTCCATTTTATTGGCATATACTGGTTTGCAGTAGTCACTTATAATCCTTTGTATTCCTGCAGTGTCAGTTGTGATTTCTCCTTTTTCATTTCTAATTTTATTGATTTGTGTCCTCTCCCTCTTTTTCTTGATGAGTCTGGCTAAGGATTTATCAATTTTGTTTATCTTCTCAAAGAACCAGCTTTTAGTTTTATTGATCTTTGCTATTGTTTTCCTCATTTCTATTTCAATTATTTCTACTCTGATCTTTATGATTTCTTTGCTTT